TGAGGGGTAGAAAGTATAGAATGTACACACACATGCACACACAGACCCAGTACAACATTCTCTTCAATTTGAGGAATGAGTTTTAATAATGCTATAATTCCCATAGCTAAACTTTCAACAGTTCTCAAGAACATAAATGATAAAATTAACAAATGTGGAAAAGAAGAGGAAAGAAAAAAATTAAAGATGAAATATGAAGAAAAAAGCTTAAGAAAATATTAATAACATTGAAACTATAATTAGGAATCAGAAGAGAAAAAATAAAATGAATTAAAATAGATTATCATTTAAATTGACAAATAATTCCAATAAAGATTGATATTAAGACTACTAAAAAAGTGGAAAAGAGACACTTAAAAATAAAAGCTTAGACCTAGAAGCCAAGGCAAGAGGACTTTTTGAGACTAGGAGTTTGAGATCATCTTGGGCAGCATAGCAAGATTCTATCTCTGAAAAGGAAAAAAAAAAAAAGCCAGGCATAGTGGCACATGCCTATAGTCCTAGATACTTGGGAGGCTGAGCTTGGGGGATAACTGGAGCCCAGAAATTTGAGGTTATAATGAGCTATGATCATGTCACTGCACTCCAGCCTGGGCAACAGAATGAGTGTCTCAGAAAAAAAAAAATTAGAACTGGTTGTATAAAAAAATTAAAATAAGAAAAGAAGAGAAAACAAGGTGAAAGATAAAAATATAAGAGGCAAAGATACATAATTAGGATAAATGGCTAAAATTAACAAAACTAAATTAAGCATTCATGTGTTAGGAGAGAGGGAATTCTGGATCAGGGAAATAAGGAATTCTGTAAATTTATTCTTCCATAAAAGTAATAAAAATCCTGGCAAAATTTATCAAAATAAATTTTAACATAACTCTAGAAATTAACCAAAGAATTGCAGCAATCTGAGAAGCATTAATTCAAGAAAAAAGTGCAGACCTTGGGTAAGAATGACAGTCTTTGTTGCAATTTAACTTTCCTTACTTTCATCGCCAACTTCTAAATTCCACAATAGACATGAGAATGAGCAGCCTTACACCCACCGCATCTGAGAAAACTAGTAGCCTTGATGGAGGGAGTATATTGGATTTAGAACTCTTCAAAGTATTATTCCCAGAACATTCTCACTATTTGACCTGTTTTGCAGGTCCCTGAAAAAGCCTAACAGAACAGTACTACAAGCAAAGTAGATTTAAGATATATTTTGCTGTGCACCACAAAACAGCAGAAAACACATTCTTCTGAAGCACACATGGAACATCCTCCAGGATAGGTTACATGTTAGGCTATAAAAGAAGCCTCAATAAATGTAAAAGAATTGAAAACATACAAAGTATGTTATCCAAACACAATGAATTAAATTAGAAATCAACAATACAAGGAAAATTTGAAAATTAACAAATATGTGGAAATTAAATAACATACTCCCAATAACCAATGATCCAAAGAAGATATTACAAGTTCAATTCTATAATAATTTGAGATGAACAAAATGGAAAAGCTGACATACCAAAAATCAAAGCAGTTTAAAAAGAAAAAAAAAAACACAAAGATTTCACTCCTTAGGGTGTGTGTGTGTGTGTGTGTGGTATACTTTATTTATTTTTATTTCAGGATATTATGAGGGTACAAGTATTTTGGTTACATTCTATGTCTTTGCCTCACCCAAGCGAGGATTAGAGGGATGCCTTCCCCCCCTCTACAATGCTCACCGTGTCCATTAGTTGTGAGTTTACCCCCCTCGACCCCCCAATCCCTGGAAAATATTACTACTGTGTGAGCACCATAGTGCTGATCAGTCAGTGCCAATTTGATGGCGAGTACATGTGGAGCCCATTCTTCTGATTTTGTGATACCTCACTTCGGAGAATGGGCTCAAGCTCTATCCAGGAAAATATAAGAGGTGCTAGATCACTGTCATTTCTTATAATTGAATAATATTCCATTGTATACATATACCAAATTTTAATAATCCACCCCTAAGGAGTCAAAACACAAGATTTTCAAGCCAACCATTTTCTGGGCAATACATATTTTCTTAAGTATTCTTGCCATTAATGCCTCGACTCTTTTTATCACCAGATTTCTTGGTGCTAGATCTTACAACAAAATTGAAAAGTATATGTAACAAAAGAATAATTAGCAACAATCAAGAACACTTAATGTTCTTTCAAAGTAGATCCACATACAGCTATAACGAAAGAGTCATAGTTGCTCTTGCTAATCACAGTAAAAACTAAGATCTTTACCCCTCAGTATCATTTCATTAATATTCAAAGTGGTTTTAATGTGTGGGGAAACCTATAATTGTAAATCCATACTGATGGAGGCTCATTATATAGCAAATTTACTCCCCTCCAGGGTGAAAAAGACAAGTAAAAAAAAAATTCAAATCTATAACCTAACTTACTTCTTTAAGAAATCCCAATGAGAGGAGGACACTAAGCCCAAGAAGCAAAAGGATGGAAATAATAAAGAAAAAATTGGAATAAAGTATAGAAAATTCAGCCAAGATAATGGACTACAAGCAGTCTATACATGACACTCTCTAAAAGAGGTTAAAAAACTGCAAGTAGATGCCCACCTACAGATGGACCCACTTGGAGAGAGCATTATAAATAATCAGAGAACGAATGGGAGACACTCAGAGTAAAAGAGACTGAATGAGGAGTTCCACTCACAAAGATTAGATGGTATCTGGGAGAGACCCATACACATGGAGAAGTTATAAAGGAGAGAGCCCTAGGGACCCACATTCCCCATGCAAACACTGTAACTCAGTCTGTGAGGGGCTTCCCACAACAACTGTGGGCCTCTGTACTAATCAAGGTACTGTCTAGCAAAGTTGCATTGGAGAGCAGGTTCAAGAGGAACACACTAATCTCAATTCCTGGATACCCTCAACTGATGCAACTCTGAACTCTCGGGTCTAGAGACACCCATCTACATAGGGATTGGGGATCCCAGTCTACCCAGGGATTGGTTGCACTGCAGCTACCTCAATATCACCCCTTGCTGGGCTGAAAAGGGAGCAGGGAGAACAGACAATCTTGCATTCCTGTAACTGGGAGCCAAGCACCCTGCCCAATAGGGAACATGAATGGAACTCAAGAGGTCCCAAGATAGCAGCTTCAGCAAGACCTGTATGAGGAAAGAGCCCAAGCCATCCAGCAGCTGAGCCCTTGTGGCCCCGCTTGCCAAAGAGTGGAATAAACCACCTTTTCCTACAGACTCAGTACACACTCCCACATGCCAACTGTCAGACCATGCCCCCAGTAGAGTGCACCAACTATAGGAACAAGTCCCCCATCTTCACACACCACAAAGAGGTCCATGCCCCCACAGACCCAAGCTCCATTTGGTGGTCCACAACCCCCAGCCCTGAGTTGAGAGAAGAGGTTTCACATGAGAAGGCAGCAGCAAAGAAAATACTAGCAATATGGAAAAGCAAACTAGTTCAACACCCCTAAATTATCACAATAGTCTACAGCAAAAGACTCCACCCAAACCTAAATGGCTGAAATGTCAGAAATGGAATTCAGAATATGGTTGACAAACAAGATGATTGAAATTGAAGAGAAAGTTGAAAACCAACACAAAGAAGCCAAAAAAAAAAAAAAAAGTTCCAAGACATGAATGAAAAAACTAAAAATATAAAGACACTAAAAAGCTAGACAACATGAGAAAGGATATAACAGAACTTAAAGAAATGAAAGAATCATTTAGGTAATTACAAAATACAGCACAGTGCTTGAACAACAGGCTAGACCTAGCAGAAGAAAGAATTTTAGAGCCTGAAGACACAGCCTTTGAACAAACCTACTCAGTTAACGATGCAGAAAAAGAATTAAGAAGAATGAACAATCACTCAGACAAATATGGGACTATGAGAAATGAACCAGTATATGAATTACAGGTATTCCAGAAGAAGTAGAGAAAGCAAAAGCATGGTAAATCAATCTGAGGGAATTATTGAGGAGAAATTCCCTGGTATTGCCAGATATTAGGGTATCCAGATATGAAATGGTCATTGAATGCTAGGAAGATTCATAGTAAATAGGACATCTCCAAGACACATATTCATCAACCTGACTAAAGTCAAAACAAAGAGGAAAATTCTACAAGCTGCAAGATGAAAGCAACAACTAATCTACAAAGGAAAACTTATCAGACTAACAGCATATTACTCAGTGGAGTCCTTACAGTCCAAAAGGGATTGGGGACCCATCCTTAACCTTCTCAAACAAAACTACTGCCAGCCAAGAATTTTGTATTCTACAAAACTAAGTTTAATAAATGATGGAGAAATAAACATTTTTGCAGACAAGCAAATTTTAAGGGAAATTGAAACTACTAGACCTGCCCTACAGGAAATGCTCAAAAATCCATTATACATGCAACAGCACAATAAATACTCACCAGTGTGAAAATGTGCAAAGGTTATAGCTCACAACTCTAATAAAAAAATAGCACAAGAGGGAAAACAAAAAGAAATAAGTATCATCCAACATGGATGCATGTTTGTGCAACAGGAGTTCTCAGTTGCATAAACCAAATTCTCTAGGTCTAAGCAAAGCAATAAACAGTAGCATCTTAATTGGTGGGGACTTCAACACTCCACTGACACAACTGGACAGATCACTGAAGCACAAAATGAATAAAGTAACACTGGACTTGAGTAGGAATCTAGAATTAATAGACATAACAGACATTTACAGAACATTCTACCCCAAAACTGCTGAATATATATTTCTCTCATGAGCACATGGGACATTTGTGAAGATTGATTATATCTGAGGTCACAAAACAAGTCTCAGCAAATTCAAAAAATCGAAATCATACAGTTTACCTTCTCAGACCACAGTGGAATAAAACTAGAAACTAATTCCAGGAGAAACAATTAAATCTGCACACAGTAGTGGAAATTAAACGCTGTGCTGCTAAATAATCCTTGGGTCAATGGTGAAATTAAGATGGAAATCAATGGCCTCCGCGACTCAGCCCAGCGCCAGCGCCGCCCGGCCCACCAGCCTCCCGGACGATGGCCAACCTCGAGCGCACCTTCATCGCCGTCAAGCCGGACGGCGTGCAGCGCGGCCTGGTGGGCGAGATTATCAAGTGCTTCGAGCAGAAGGGGTTCCGCCTCGTGGCCTTGAAGTTACTTCGGGCCTCTGAGGAACACCTGAAGCAGCACTACATTGACCTGAAAGACCGCCCATTCTTCCCTGGGCTGGTGAAGTACATGAACTCAGGCCCCATTGTGGCCATGGTCTGGGAGGGGCTGAATGTGGTGAAGACAGGCCGAGTGATGCTTGGGGAGACCAATCCAGCGGATTCTAAGCCAGGCACCATTCGTGGGGACTTCTGCATTCAAGTTGGCAGGAACATCATTCATGGCAGCGACTCAGTGAAAAGTGCCGAAAAAGAAATCAGCCTATGGTTTAAGCCTGAAGAATTGGTTGACTACAAGTCTTGTGCTCATGACTGGTTCTATGAATAAGAGGTGGACAAGGTTGTAGTCCCTTTCAGCACCGCTTGGTATGTCCCTGGACACAGCTCTTCATTCCACTGACTTGGAAGCAATAGTATTGATCATTCTTTTCTAAAGCATATTTACCAATAAAGCGTCTGGAAACTGGAAAAAAAAAAAGATGGAAATCAAAGATTCCTTAAACTGCATCACAGGGGGATTCAGGCTTTCAAAATCTATGGGATACAGAAAAATCAGTCCTAAGGGGACTAGTTCATAGCCTTAAACATCCACATCAAAAAGACAGAAAGATCATAAATAAATAACTTAATGTCACATCTCAAGGAACTAGAAAAAGAAGAATAAATAAAACCCAAAGCCAGTAGAAGAAAATAAATAGCAAAGCTCACAGTAGAACTAAACAAAATGGAAACCAAAAGTAAAACAATATAAAGGATAAATGAAATAAAAAATTGATTATTTGAAAAGATAAACAAAATCGATACACCACCAGCCAAATTAACCAGAAATAGAAGAGGAAAAACTCAAATATTCTCAATAAGAAATGAAAAAGTAGACATGGCAACTGATACTGCAGAAATACAAATCATCACCCATGAATACTATGAGAACCTCTACACAAACAAATGAGAAAACCTAGAGAAAATGAATAAATTCCTGGAAACACATAACCTCCCAAGCATAAATCAGGAAGAAATAGAAATCCTGAACAGATCAATAACAACTAATGAGATTCAAGCAATAGTAAAAAATCTCCCAACCATAAACAAAGTTCCAGACCAGAGGGATTCACAGCTGAATTCTACCAGACTTATATAGAAGAACTGGTACCTATCCTACAGAAGCTATTTGATAACACTGAGAAGGAGGGAATCTCCCTAACTTATTCTATGAAGCCAGTATCACCCTGGTACCAAAACCCGGAAAAGATACAACCAAAACTGTAACTACAAAAAAACATGCCTTATGAACATAGATACAAAAATTCTCAACAAAATACTAGCAAACCTAATTCAACAGAATATCAAAAAGATAATCCACCATGATCAATTGGATTTCATCACAGGGATGTAATGATGGTTCAACATATGCAAAACAATAAATGTAATTCACCACATAAACAGAAACAAAAGCAAAGAATTTATAATCATCTCAATAGATGTAGAAAAAGCTTCAGATAAAATCCATCATCCTTTCATGATGAAAACCCTTAACAAACTAGGCATAGAAGCACCATACCTCAAAATTATAAAATCCATATATGACAAACCCACAACCAACATCACACTAAGTGGGGAAAAGTTGAAAACATTCCCACTAAGAATTAGAACAAGTCAAGGTTGCCCACTGTCACCACTTCTACTCAACATAGTATTGGAAGCCCTAGCCAAAGCAAACAGGCAAGAGAAAGAATTAAATGACATCCAAATCAGGAAAGAGGAGGTCAAACTACCCTGTTTGCTGACTATATAATTGTGTATCTAGAAAACCTTAAAGATTGCACCAAAAGACTCTTGAAATGATTAGTGAATTAAGCGAATTCTCAAGTTACAAAATGCATGCACACAAATCAGTAGCATTTCTATATACTAATAACAGTCAAGCTGAGAGTCAAATCAAGGACTTGATATCATTCACAATAGCTACAAAGGAAATAAAATACTTAAGGAATATACTTAACCAAGAAAGTGAAAGATCTGTACAGAGTAACTACAAAATACTGATGAGGGAAATCATGGATGACACAAACAAATGGAAAAACATCCCTTGTTTGTAGATTGGTAGAATCAACATGATTAAAATTGTCCATACTTCCCAAAGAGATTTACAGATTCAATGCAATCTCCATCAAAATACCAATGTCATATTTACAGATCTATAAAAAAGAATTCTAAGCTTCATTTGGAACATTAAAAGATCCCTAATAACCAAAATAGTCTTAAGCAAAAAGAACGAATCTGAAATCATCACATTACCTGACTTTAAATTATACTACAAGGATATACCAACTAAAACAGCATAGTGCTGGTATAAAAAGTAGAGACACAGACTGATGGAACAGATTAGAGAACCTAGAAAGGAAACCATCTGCCTACAACCTACTGATCTTCAACAAAGCAGACAACAACATACTCTGAGAAAAGGAAGTCCTGTTCAATAAATGGTACTGGGAAGATTGAATAGCCACATGCAGAACAATGAAGTAGCCTTATCTTTTGCCATATAAAAAAAAATTATTTCAAGATGGATAAAAGACTTAAATGCAAGGCATGAAACCACAAAAATTCTATAAGAAAATGTAGGAAAAACTCTCCTAGATGTTGGTCTAGGCAAATAATTTATGACTAAAACCCCAACGGTAAATACAGCAACAACAAAAATAAATAAATGGGATTTAATTAAGTTAAAATATTTTTTGCATAGCAATGGAAATAATCAACAGACTAAATAGACAACCTACAGAATGGGATAAAATATTGGTAAACTTTACATTGAACAAAGGACTAATATCTAGAAATTACAAAGAAATCAGCAAGAAAAAAACCAAATAACTCCATCAGTAAGTGGGCAAAATACGTGAACAGAGGATTTTTGAAAGAAGATAGACAACTGGCCAATAAAAATATGAAAAAACGCTCTACATCCCTAAAATCAGGGAAATGCAAATTAAAATGACAATGAGATACCACCTTACCCATGTCAGAATGCCCATTATTAAAAAGTCAAAAACAATAAATGTTGACATGGATGCAGAAAGAAAAGAATGCTTATACAGTGTTAGTGGGACTGCATATTAGCATAACTTATATGGAAAACGATATGGAGATTCCTCAAAGAAATAAATGTAGACCTATCATTCAATCCAGCAATCTCACTGTTGAGTTTCTACCCAAAGGAAACGAAGTCATTTTATCAAAAAGATACCTTCACTGAAATGTTTATTGCTGTACAACCCACTTGCAAAGATGTGGAATCAACCTAAGTGTCCATCAACATAAAGATAACATTATATATGCCCCTATGATTGAAACATTATTTTTCCCATGAAGGTTTTGGCACCCTTATTGAGAATCATTAACTGTGGAGGTAATGAGTTTATTTCTGCCTCTCAATTCTATTCAGTTATCAATATGTCCATCTTGTGCCAGTACCAGCTGTTTGATTGTTCTAGCTTTGTAGTAAGTTTGAAATTGAGAAGTGTCGGTCTCTCAACTTTCTTTTCTTTTTCATGAGTGTTTTGCCTATGTGGGGTCCTTGCATATTATGTAATATTAAGATTAGCTTTTCAATTTATCCCCAAAAGCTGTTGGGATTTGATAGAGATTGCATTGTATCTATAATTGCTTTTGGCAGTATTGTCATTTTAATATTATTAAGTCTTTGAATCATGAACATAATGTACATTTCCACTTGTTTAGGCCTTTCACTTCTCATGGTAATGTGTTGTAGTTTCCTCATAGAAGTTTTGCACCTGCTTAGTCAAATTTATTTCTAAATATTATTCTTATTGTAAATTATTTGTTTCTCAATTTCCTTTTTAGGTCGTTCATTTCCAGTGTATAGAAATGCATTGATTTTCATGTATTGATCATGTATCTTGCACTCTGCTGAATTTTTTTATCAGTTTGAAGAGATTTTCATGGATTCTTTAAGACTTCTCTCTATATAAAATCAATGATGTCATCTGTGATAATGGTAATTTTATTTCTTATTTCCAATTTTAGTGCCTTTTAATTTCTTCTTTTTTTTCTCAATTGCTCTACTAGATCATTTGGTATAATGCTGAATAGAAGTGGGCAAGGGTATACAGCTTTGTCTTGTTCCTAATGTTGGCAAGCTTTTAGTTAGTCACCATTAAGTGTGATGTCAGCTGTGGGTTTTTACATAATAAATATAACAGAGTGAGGAAGTTCCTTTCATTCCTAGTGTGATTAGTGTTTCATTATGAAATGTGCTGGAGTTTTCAAGTGCTTTTTATTTGGATCTTCTGAGATTGTCATGTTTATGTGTCTGTGTATGTGTCCTTTATTCTATTAATATCATGTATTATATTATTGATTAATTTGTGATATTTAAACCAACCATGCATTCCTGAGATAAATCCTATTGTTTTCTATTAATATTAATAATATTTATCAAGAATTTGTGTCCTGTCTTAAGAGATATTAAGTTATAGTTCTTTTTTGTGATTTCTTCATTCATAGATATCTTCTTTATGTGTTTGTCTGGATTTGGCATCAGGTGATTCTGGCCTCAAAGAATGTTGAAAGGTATTCTCTTTTCTTCTATTTTTTAAAAGAGCTTGTGAAGGATTGATATTAATTAATCTTTAAATATTTAGTAAGAGTTCACCAGTGAAGCTCTCTGGAGCTGGGCTTTTCCTTGTGAGAAGTTTCAAAAGTTATTGATTCAATCTCTTTAGTAGTTATAGGTCTATTTACATTCTATTTTTTTGAGTCAGTTTTAGTACTTTGTGTCTTTCCTGAATTTGCCCCTTATATCCCAGTTACTGAGTTTGTCAATAGTTGTTCATAGTATTCACTTATAATAATATTCCTATAAGTAATTAACACTGTGTCATGTCATGCCTAATTTTAGTAATTGAGTGGTTTTTCTTGGATAATCTACCAAATGTTTGTAATTTTCTTGATCTTTTCAAAGAGCCAGCTTTGGTTTTATTGATTTTCTATTCTTTTGTTTTGCAATACATTATTTATTTATTTATTATGTTTACATAATGTTATATTTATTTCATATATTTTCTTTCTTTGTTTTTATTTCAGAATATTTGGGGTACAAACATTTTGGTTACATGTTATGGCTTTGCCTTACCAAGCAGGTAGAGGCACACCCTTCCCCATAAAATGCTCACCACATCCATTACTTGTGAGTATACCACCCCCACCTCCCCAACTCCCAGTGAATATTACTACCACGTGAGCATCTTGTGTTGATAAGTTAGTTCCATTTGATGGTGAGTCATGCGGTGCTTATTCTTCCATTCTTGTGATCCTCACTTCGGAGGATGAGCTCAAGCTCTATCCAGGATAATATAAGTGGTGCTGATCCATTGTTTTGTAATTGAGTAGTATTCCATTGTCTACATATGCCATATTTTATTAATCCAGTCATGGGTTGATGGGCACTTGGGTCATTTC